CCCCCCACCCCCACCTCCACCCCTTGTCTACTGCGTTTGAAGGTTGCGTCGCATTGGGTTAATAGAAACTTCTCAGTGGCGCCCCCTCCCCCTTCAAGTGGCACCGAGGACACCTGCCCTACCTTACTCTCGCCTAGGGTCTCTCCTCCCTGCACTTTTTTTTAAATTGTGATGTAGGTGAAAGTTTACACAGCAAATTAGTTTTTCATTAAACAGTACATGAATTGTTTGTGACATTGGTTGCCAGCCCCGAAATGTGTCCAACACTCTCCCTTTCTCCACCCCAGGTTCCGTTTCCATTCGTACAGTTTTCCTGTCCCTTTCTGCCTTCTCATTTTTGCTTTTGGGTTGGTGTGCCTATTAGTCTCATATACATGATTGAAATATGAAGCATGTCCCGCATGTGTGTTGTTGTTGGCCTATAGACCTGTCTAATCTTTGGCTGAAGGGTGAACCTCGGGAGTGACCGAGTTAAAAGGGTGTCCAGGGGCCGTACTCTCGGGGTGTCTTCAGTTTCTGTCAGACCACAAGCCTGGTCTTTTGTGAGTTTTTTTTTGGTGAATCTGAATTTTGTTCTACATTTTTCTCCCGCTCTATCCAGGACCTTCTATTGTGATCCCTGCCAGAGCAGTTGGTGGTGGTAACCGGGCACCATCTAGTTGTTTTGGCATCAGTCTGGTGGAGGTTGTGGTAGTTGTGGTCCATTAGTCCTTTGAACTCATCTTTCCCTTGTGTCTTTGGTCTTCTCCATTTTCCTTTGCTCTAGACAGGATGGGACTAGTAGATGTATCTTAGATGGCTGCTCTCCTCCCTGCACTCTTAATTGTTTGATAACTTGGAAGCATATTGGTGCGGCTGTGTAGCTCTGTATTCAACCTTTGAATTGTTTACTCAACATTTCTCTTTTACTTGTTTTAGATTTTTTTCCTTTCATTTAAATATTATGTATAGAAGTTTGGAGGTGATTTAAGGCCTGAAGCAGAATATCCTTGACAGTAAAGGAAGTTTACAGGAAGACCTGTAAACTGATTTTTCTAGTCCATCAAATTTTTTAAAGTGTTGTTTTCATCCTATCTTTTTCTGGGCTTAGCATTCTGGTCAGAACAAAACATATGGGATCTGTTGTCACCAGGGTTTTACATTTCTTTAGTCATTGTACTCCTTTTATTTTTTTTTTTTAAGCATCTATTTCCATCATTTTAAAGTGAATAATGGAAGTACCAACAGATTTAGCAAGTTTTATCCAGGGCACTTTTGGAATAAACTAAAGGGTAGGTGCCTGCTTCAAACAGAATTTGAGATTACTGCAATAACTGGTTGTGGAGTTTACCATTACTAGTTACACATCCCTTATTTTAGGCAACCTTAGTAGTTGGTATTTTCCACTCCTGGCTTTGAAATTTAAGAACTTGAATTCTAAGCATAGCTGAAAAAAACAGCAGACTTCCTATAATCAAGTTTGGTTTCTACAATTCAGTTGAAATGTTTTAATACTAATAAAAATGCTATAGATATTTTTCAAGATGTTACTATCCATTTCTTTTCTATATTTCCAAAATTCTCAGCATTGGCTCAGAACTGTGAGTGAAGCTATAGTATTCCCTGTATGCAGAATATGTTAACTGTTTTCTTGCATCTGCTTTGGTATTCTCTACAATTGGCACTGCTAAAATTAAACAGTAACTAGGCATTGTTTTAAAAAGATGTGAAAACAAGGCATCTTAGAACTCTATGTACAGTCTAATGCCAGCTTGTTTAATTCACTGTCCAGGAGATCCAGTAACAGCTTTATAAACTGTGAGTCACTTTGCATCCTAGAGGTTTCAACTAAGATTAAATCATGTATTCATAATGATATGTTGCTTAAATGTTAAAAAAAAAAGTGTCATTTAGAAGAATGCTATAAACAAAGAAAATATATTACTTGGCAAAATGGGAGAGAGCAAGGGAATTTTCAGGATTTTTTCCATCTCCAAATGTACAGACCAGTCCATTTACCAGTTTAGAATGACAATTCTTTACATTAGCTTTTAAGTGAGTTGTGTTAATACAGAATGAATTCATTTTCAAGATATTGTCCACAAGGACAAATATCTGTTGGGAAAATAAATTTCTCCTTTGTTAAAAAAGTGTTGGAAAGGAGATTATCAAGATTGGAAATATCAATTTGAGATAACTGAATACTGTCTAAACATTATTTTGAAAGGAAACTTTTGATTGTATTTTTATGATGGCATTTATCTCCAACAGAAAAGTTAGAAATGCCTTTCTGAACACATAATACATCAAAGAGACTCTTCCAGTTACGTACATTTTACGATAAATTATAAATTCTATTTTGTCTACTCCATAAACGACCTAAAGGGAGAAAAATCCTTGAGATTAAAAATGAACTCTCCATGTGGAATTGGCCTGTTGTTTCTTTTTGTGTCTTTCATCAGGAAAGAACACAATCAAATAAGACGACTCCCTTCCTGCAATCTTCATTAACTGTAGTGTGTAAATGGACAATATTTCCTTTAAATAGAGTCTAAAGAGACTTTCTTTTTTCTTCATTAATGGCATTGAAAATTGCTAAGGTTCGTTTTGTTCTCATAGTGGAAAACAAAGTGCAGTGGAAAACAAAAAGACTTCCTTTTAAAAGCCTATTTTTCTGATTTTTTTTAACTCTATCAAGTAGCAGAAACACAATTAATGCCTAGAATTTGGTCCAGGCTGCATGAAGAAGCAGTGTCCAACAGTTACTTTTTTCTTTCCCTAAGAAAACTTGGATCTGCCAAGCTGAGAATCTAGGGGTTGGGAGCCCTGGTGGTGTAGTGGTTCAGAGCTACAGCTGCTAACCAAATGGTCAGCAGTTCAAATCCACCAGCTGCTCCTTGGAAACCCTATGGGGCAGTTCTACTCTGTCCTATGGAGTCACTGAGTCACAGTTGACTCCAGGGCAATGGGTTTTTGTTTTTTTGGCAGTAACGAATGCTGACGTGTGATGTGAGAGTAACACTGGCTGTGATGGTTAAGTTTATGTGTCAACTTGACTGGGCCATGATTCTCAGTGGTTTGGCAGTTATGTAATGTAGTCTTTCTCCATTTTGTGATCTGATGTGGGCATCCTCCGTTTTTGTGTAGCACAGATTTTTGCATAACGACTTGGTCTTTTGAACCTAATCATGTTGACAAGTGAGGAGTAGATGTAATACATATCTGTCAATGAATGAATGATGGGTGCTTAACAACCATTTGCTGTATGAGTGATGATGTTCTTTCTGATCCCTCATATTTAGACTATTTTGCTTTAAGTTCCTAGGATATTACAAATAATAAAATAGAATAAGGCAGGGAATTTGCTTGCTATTATTTTCAAAACAAGTACAAAGTGCTATGGTTTCCCCATGTGACATTAACATACAATTTAGAGTGACATCTGGTGGTTGCTCTTAGTGTTTTTTGAAGAAATAGTGAGTAAAAATGCCACACAGTATAAATTAAATTCCTAGATATACTATGGTAAAAACGTTGAATTAAATAAATTGGTAAAAAAAACAAATCTCCACCCTAGAAAAGTAAAAAAAAAGAAAAAGAAAAAAGAGCTGGTTGTGAATTTTCAATCCACTGGACTTTTAAAAGAAGCAATAAGCCCCCTTAAGAACAGATTTTACAAAAATTGCAACACAGTGAGTTGGTGGCGGAAAAAATGAATTGACTTACTGGTCTGAAGAAAGATGCTTGGCTTGAGAAGAGATGCAAATTTCTAAAGGAAAATAAAATCAAAGATTTCCATATTTCTCAAAATCTTCTGGGTTACCGAGGCCAACTCTTCAGACAAAGATTAGACTGGACTATGGGACATAAAATGATAGTCGTGAAGGGTGTGCTCCGTAGCTCAAGTGAGACTAAATGGGCAGTTCCTGCCCAGAGATGAGATAAGAAGGCAGTGAGGGTCAGGAGCTGGTTGAATGGACGCGGGAAATCCGGGATGGAAAGGGAGAGTGTGCTGTCACGGTATAAGGAGAGCAACTACAGTCACAAAACAATGTATGTATAAATTTTTGTATGAAAGACTAACTTGAATTGTAAACTTTGACTTAGAGCACAACAATTTGGAAAAAAAAAATCTTGCAGGTTAGAAGCGGAATTTATTCACAAGGCAAGATATCTTTAACATGTCTCCGAAGCTTCGAG